GAATTCTGTATACATTCAGTCCTGGAGGCAAGCAAACCCTTCTTCTTTCCAGCAGGACCCCAGAGTCTCCGTTCTCAATACCTTTTGCGTCTTTCCACTTGGGCCCCCAATTAGGTTCCCACAATAGCTGGTGGTGTTCCTCCAACTGCCTCAAATACCTTATCATTATTGCCTCCCCTCTAATGCAAATGCACACCATTCTCTACGATGCCACCGCATCAGGCCCCCACTTACTTGTGAGCATTTTTTTCACATTAGTACAGTGAAATTCTTCAGGAAATTGAAAGGCCATAAAGGCCTTTACCATCTGCCCTCTTCCTTTCCTTGGGTTCACCAAGGGCCCTTAAGCCCTTGGCTTTCAATGTGATCCAAACTTACCCGTTTTAGGGGAAGTGCCCCGCTCTGAGCTACCTCTGTACCTGCACTGGGGATACCCCAGAAGACCAACAGCTGAGACAGAAATGCTCTGGAACTTAGAAGCCTTGCAGAAAAGGAAGCTCAATCAGTGTCAACTGAAATGAGCAATTTTTTTTATAAAGATGAAAATTTAGTAATATCATACCATGCTGATAAAGACACACATAAACACACACACCCAGAATAAGCATGATCTTTGTCTCTGTTGCCTGTCTGCAAACAATACCTACTTACATAAAAGGGCCTCTTAGTGTTATTTATTGGTAAACAGCAAAGTACCCAAGCCACTACAAAAGGGATCAGATACCACACTGCTCACCTGGATGTGGGGACGTTCTGACCTCACCCTTCACTAATTATGCCTCCCGCTACAGCTACAACTTTTCTTTATGCAAAAGAAAACAATGAAGAAATCTCTTCCTATGACACACTTAACAAATTATGTTTCATCAGTACTGTGCAGTTAATTCAGATGCTGTTCATTGGTTTTAGTTAAGATTTTATTTTACATTTTCATGGGACTATAAACTCATGTATGATAGGAAGTATTCATCACTTGAATTTCACTCTTAAAGTTCAGCATGTGGCCATTACACCATGAAATTTACTCTGTCGTCTTCTGAGTACTTTGAATTTAAAAAGACTATATATCAAATAATTGTTTCAAATTAGATCAAAATTCTACAATGTAAGTTACTAAGATACAGGATTACTAAGTAGAAGCGGAAGAGTTTTAGTTGAAATGTAAGACATCAAATATCACATACAGTGGAGCTGGGCATGATGGGACATAACTGTAATCCCAGAACTTGAGAGGCTGAGGCAGGACTATCACGGCCAGCTCAAGGCCAATCTGAGCTACGTAATGAGTCTCTGTCTCAAAAAACAGCATCACATAAGGAACTATCAATAGCTGTCAACAGTAGTCGATAATGATAAAGAACTATATACGATACCAGCTTATGTATTTACTATACTATACTTTTATTGTTATTTAAGTCTATGCCTCCTTATAAAAATACTTACCGTAAAACGAGTATACTGTGTTACCCTAGCAGCCTCATAGCCATCATGCTCACTGTCTCGGTTGCATTATTTTCTTATGTGCTTGACTTAATTTCATGTTGTTTTATTCATCGCGGTCCTAGGAGCCATAGGCTATATCATTTATATGTATACTTTAACCTAGGTATATCGTAGGGTGTATCACCTAGGTTTGTAAAAGTATACTTTAGTGTGTCTGACCTGCAGCCTCTAGGCTGCTTGCCCTTTTATTTTTAATGTTGTAACAACTAATAGTATAAAAATAAAAGGAGTTTTGTTGTTCATATACATTAATCATATGTGTGTATGTGGATCAAGACAATTCCTCTTTCCTCAGTGAGGGCCAACAGGCCAAAAGGCTGAGCATGTCTGCAAGGCATTCCTAGGCAATGAAATCTCCCTCACAACAACAAATTTCTCAGAACTTATCTCTGTCTTGAGTGATGCATGAGCATCTATCAATGCCTTTGGCATTGACCTTACAGCTTCAAGACCCAATGTTCACTGTGAAGAATGGAGCATGGTATACAAGGTGAATGTTCTACACAAAATAAGTAAAATATCGACTGAATAAATGAATATGAGTTTCCTTCAATCTTAAAGGAGAACCTTGGGTTTTAATATTTTGGTACACGACGATTTTAGTTGTGTTCATCACTTTTACTTGCTCTATGATTCTGTCAACTTTTCACATCAAATGCTTCTAACTAACAGCCTCCATCTTTTTCAGCACAAGAAACACTACCCCCTTTCTCCACTTCTTGTTAAGTAGACCATTTCCTGTGACTGGCTAAAGTGAACTTTCACATCAGCACTGCTGATCTTATCAAAGCAAATATTCTTGGTTTGCAGCAAGTGTAACAAAATGTCTTCCTTCACTCGCTTTTGTTCATGTAATATTAGTATTTACCTCAAATTTTAATTCATGTCAACATTATAGGGAAATAAGAACACCATTAATTTAATATCTACTGACCACAGACAGGTACTATGTTCCACATGGCTCTTATTTCCATGGAAAAGCTTATGAAAATGCTAACTAAAACTATACTCAGATAATCCTTCTTGCCTATTGACTGACTAGAACCTAAAGGTTTGTTGACATATCCTCTTGGAAGGGCTGGGGGAAGCAGGCATTCATCCACTCTTGGTGGTAATGCAAACTCTCATAGCAATGAATACACTTTTACTCTCTGATCTAGCAAGTTTACTTCTAAGACTCTATATCCCGAAGATACTGTGGCTAAAACACAACAAAACATGAGCATAATGCCCACAAACAGGAGGTCAATAGATCAATGATGACACAGCCACTCAGTGGGGAATCATACAGCTGGAAGTAGAATTTCCCATTTCCTTCCTTCCTTCCTCCCTCCCTCCCACTCTCTCTCCCTCCTCCCTTCTTCTTTTCCTCTCTCCTTCTTTTCCTTTCCGGTGTTGGGCACTGAAACCCAGAGCCTTCATACTGAGTTGCATCTCCAGTCCTTTGTTATTTTCATCGTTGAGACAGGGTCTCCTAAATTATTGCTAAATTGCCCAGGCCAGGCTCAAACCTATAATCCTCCTGCCTCAGCCTCCCAAATGCTGGGGTTACAGGCATGTGCCACCATACTTAACCAGAATAAAATACATAAATACTCAAAAATAATAATAGACAATAACTTATTTTTCGGATTAACTATACAAGGAGGGAGCAGGGTAGAAAAGACAGGGATAGAAGTTAGATTTCCTTTTTTTCAAAAAATGCTTAAATTGTATGGAGCTATATCTGATACATAAAAATCACCTACTATTAACTATACAAGGAGGGAGCAGGGTAGAAAAGACAGGGATAGAAGTTAGATTTCCTTTTTTTTCAAAAAATGCTTAAATTGTATGGAGCTATATCTGATACATAAAAATCACCTATATTTAATGCATATAATTTGGTGAATTTAGAATTCCTACAGACTTCTTTAAATGTATCGTGCTTTACAGATTTGAATTTAGATTTTTTTCTGTCTATATATTGAACTCGTAAAACCACTCAGCAGTGAGCCTCTTTAGCACTCACTCAGAGGTCCTAACATTGCCACTTCACCTCAAAAGACTCCAGGACTCATGGAAACGGCTGGTTCCAGGCCTGGAACATGAACTATACAACATGATCCCTTCACGTCTTGAAATACCATATAGCAGGAGGATAACCAAAGGTTATTAAGATTAAAAACAGAAATATTTGGCATTAATAAATAAAATAACTTGAACTTTACACACTGGGATGTCTATTTCCCTTTATAGAAATATGTCAGGTAATAAATGAATAAAAAGTGATCAATGAGAGTAACTTCATTTCGCAATTCTCAATGAGTTGATGGATCTGCTATCGAGCTGGTACACTTTCTTATCTCGAGGGAAATGCTACAGAACAAATTACCTGGTCCCTTCAGTAAATAATCCGCAACGACAAGGGTAAAACTGAATGAGGAATTCTTCATGTACAGACATGTAATGATCTCGAAGACTGAGATGAAAAAAAGTAAGGAGAAGAACAATAGTATGCTACCATTTAAAAACAAGAAAAAATATTTTTTCTTTATAATCATAGACTATTTCTAAAAAATATGCAAGAAAGAAAATGTTTGTTTTAGTTGCCTCTCAGGTGGCCACAGATTAATACAGGAAGGACATTTTAAATAGAGAACCCTTGGTATGTCTGGAATTCTAAAACATATTAACCTATTTGCGTAAAATAATCAAAGAATAAAACCATGAATGAAAGAATGATGGATCTTTACAACACTGTGATTATAGAAGAAAACATTTTTATTTCATGGAAGTATTTATGAGTAAGATATTGTAACTATACACTTGGAAATATTTAAGCAAAAAGCAAAGATAACGGAAACTTTTTTTTTTTTTTGGAGACAGGATATCACTATGTAGTTGAGACTGACCTGGAACTCACTATGTAGCCCAGGCTGGTCTCGAACTCACAGTGATCCTCCTGCTTCAGCTTCCTGAGTGCTGGGATTACAGGCCTGTGCCACCACACCAGCAAAAATGTTACTTTTAAGTACAAATTTGGGGTGCAAGAAAATTTATTATGCAAGTTTATCTACTTTTCCTGACAAAAAAGTAAAGGAAAATATTAAATATTGTAAAAATTATTACATTCTATCCAGATGTTCCCTATGAAAGCTCTAAGCCTAACACCTGCTCTTTTCATACTAAAATGGACAAAAGTCACAGACTATTATCAAACAAGACTGCAGATATAACCCAGAGGAAAGGAGTGAATGGATGTGTGGGAAAGAGAAAGAATGAAGAGACCTTACGCAGTCATCAGTCACTGGCCAGGACAATTAATTACATATTTAATAACTTTCTGTTCACTGACAACTTAAAACAATTTTCAATTACTTGACGGAGTGCATACAAAAGCCAGCTAAATGGATGAGAGGTTTTATACCTCCACACTCCTTCCTTTTGAAATAACATAGGTGTTTGTTAATAAGCGACACCTTGGCACAAGCAAAGGCAAACTGTAGTGCACTTACTTTTTGCTCGCCTCACAGACATCTGTAATATTGGAGAAAAGATGGTGTCTCTCAGTTTTAGTCATTGTATCACTTAGTTCCTTAGAATTTTTAAACATTCGAATCAAGATCTCCAAGCTTAGTAAATATGAATGTTCAGACGATATGACTTCAAAGATTGCCTGGTAAGAAGAAGAAAGAAATTATTCATTATTTGAATGGAACTGACAGAGCTCTCATTATTCTGCTATAAGAATGATGTATCTTAAAAAAAAAAAAAAAAAGAAAGAAAAGGGCCAGGATTTGGCTCACTGGTTTTGTCGCCTGCCTTGTAAGCAACTTAAATGACCCAAGTTTGATACCGGTACAAAAAAAAAAGGAAAAAAAATGATGAATCTTGAGAAGTTCAAAAAAAGGTAAGAATTAAGAAACATGCATTATTAAACTACTGTCTTTCTATAAGAGACATGCACCCCGAAACACTGGAGAGTGTTACTTTCTGTATTGTAAATACTGAGAAGGCAAGAATCTGGATGATACTGCATCCGGAGGTCATGCCTTTGCCATAGGGGAGACTCTATGGAAGGAAAGCCGGGCATGTCACAAAAATCTCAGTGTGACGTTCATTAACCTTCAGGGTCATCTCCTCCAGCCCTGCTGTCAAAGCGTGGGACAGTAAGAATTTATGGTCATCTCTTGGAATCCAGAGAAAACTTCTCAGAAATGGGTTCCTTCGCTCCCCTTTTGTGTGTTCTTTTTCTCTGTCTTTCAATCCAACTAATGTGTAGTCAGTAACAAATATTCTGGCATGAAGGTACCTACCCCCAAATGGCTCTTATGAGCCACAGGAATTCTTTTATGTAATCTCATACAGTTGAAAATAAGTCTGTCCATTTAACAAGCCACCTCTCTACTCTTGCCAGAGTCTCAAGGAGAAAAGGACCCTCACACAGACTCTTGGTGTCAGGCACACCGAGCTTTTCCTGTTAAGTGTGAAGGCTGACAATGACAATGCATATATGTGGACAGACACCAATGCCCTGTGTAAAGATTTCAGCCAGCTCCCTAACAAAATCAAATTCAGATCTAAGAATGGTGATGCAGAGAGAATTCCTCCTCAGGGAGGGGTGGTAAAACATCTGTCCTGGTGAGCTCCCTGGTAATCATGCACTCAGCACTCTGACTGCAGGGGTTCTTGCACTTAAAGCCCCTGACACAAAGCACACAGGGGACAGGAACTGCCTGGGAACAGAGCAGACACAGGCAGGTGGTGGCCCAGTTAGTTGCTAAGAGGTGGGCCATGTTTTGTAAATCAGGTTAGAAGCAATAATCTCAGTTTTCCTTTTTAGCATCTGTAAGGTGTTAGAGACCTAGGTCTGTCTTAGGTGTGCTGATGAAGCTTCAGCTGTGCTCCAGGAAATTAAGTAACTATTGCCTGAAATAAAGAGTAAGACCTTTAAGAGCCTCATTTAATGTGTATCTTACATAAGTCAATTCAATCAATACAATGATCTGCCCAAAGTATAAGTCAAACTAAGGAAAATTCTTCTTCCTGGAGAAAAATAATGGATTTATATTGATAAGATATATTGCCTTGGAATGACTTCAAATGTTTTCAACAGTTTAAATCAAATTCAAATACAAGGATTTAGACAGAAAATAATGAACTACATAGAACAGATCACATGAGAAGATGAATAAGAGGTAACAAGTTTAATGTAGTAATTGCTAAAATTTCCTGCAATAGAGCCATGAACTACCTAAAAGCAAATCAGGTTAGACTTGCTAAAAACAGCTATAGGACTAGAAAGGAACCATTAAGTGAAATTTGAGGTTATCATTAATTTGTTACATCACAAATCTGCATAATTATCAGAATATAATAGAAATAGACAAGATATAGAAGACTTAAAAGAATAGATAGGGTCTAATGGATTTAGGACTTGGCGAAATTCTTGAGGACACCCATATATAGAGAGAAAAACATTGTTTATGATACAATGTTAGCAATACAGAAAAAAGTGCTACCCACTGCCCATCATCAGAAAAAAAAGATATAAAATTTAAAAGATGATAGTCATAGAATGGAATAGTATGTAGTGGTTGAAATGATTTATCTAGATTAATATGCATTAACATGAATATAAACATGAAATATGAACATGAATCTCAAAAACAATGTTGAGTATAAAAGCAAGATATAAAAAATACACGTAGTCATATTATTTACGTTTAACACATACATGTGTTCATGTGTGTATTGGTCATTTATATAAACCTTGCATTCTGGTACACTTTTAGGTTATAGAAAACTTGCAAAGAGACTTCAGAGTTCCATGTATTTGTTACACAGTTGCCCTTAAGCAGAGTACATTACATAACTGAGGTACATCCGTCTACAGACTAATGTATACACTTGATTCAGATTTCACCAGTTTTTCTAACAATATCATTTTTTAATTGCAGGATATGTGTTCATTTTTCAGAATACTTCTTCCACTTTAAATACTTAAACTGCATTCTTTTTGGTTTAAATGCAAATGTTGAGATAAATGTTTGTTTTCTTAAAGGCTAATGTGTATGTGCCTTTATTTAACAATGACCATCTGCTAATTTTGTAAAAAGAAAAAAAAATTCCCAAAAGATAACACTGATCAAATGCATCTCGCAGGTGAGGGCCCCAAAGCACAGAGCCCCCCACATCACACTTGGAGCTCAAACACGCCGTAGGTAAGAAACGTACCTCTTGTCTCTTCCTCTCTTCCTGGCTCACTGTTTGAGACAACCCATTTCTTTTCACCTGGAAAAAACAGAGTTTTTTATGTGAGACATAACTCTGCTCTTCCAAAATGAAGATATTATCCAAAATGCTGAATTCAGCACATATTAACATTTGGTTATCAAAACCCTCAAATAATATTTAGTTACAGTTATGAGTTAACACAGTTAAACATTAAAGAAAAGTAAAGTGTCTAAACATAATTCTATCAAGTTCAGAGTTTTTGTTCTGGTTTTAAGTCTAGCTATTTCTAAAATACATGTCAAGATGATTTCTCAAATTATAAATTGAGATATCTAATATTAAAGAAAATGAGCTGGTGGCTCTAAGTTCATTGTCCAGGATCACACCTAAAAGTCATTTTAACACTATTTTCTACAAAGACATCAATGGAATGAAATACCAAGACTCCTTAGAAAAATCCACTCAAACCAAAAAACAAACTCTTCCTTCATCTCCTTGCCAAACATCAGCAGTCTTTTAGCATACTGAAACTCGACAAATAAAGATGGTAATCTAATGTTCTTTTGGTTTGTTTTTTTGGACAGAGTCTCACTATGCAGTTCAGGATGGCCTTAAACTCTCTATGTAGCCCAGACTGGCCTTGAACTCATGGCAATCCTTTTGCCTCAGCTTCCTGAATGCTGGGATTATAGAGTGCAGTACATCCCCAGCCTAGTGTTCTTTTGAGAAGCAACAGTATCTACAAAAGTTATCAACACCAATAGTGTTTTTGGAATAATGCAGTAGTGCCATTTGCTGAAGGACCCATCTCACTGCCAAGCTATAATCCAATTTATAAACCCAAGAGCAAAGTTGAACCCATGAACTCCAAGAAGGCAGGGGCTGCTGCCCCTTATAATATACCTGGCACTGAGGGTGACATATAAGACAGTTGTGGTTTTCAGTCAGACATTAAATTAACAAAAGGCTAATATATATAATACCAACCAATAAATCCTTCCCTTAATAGAAATAACAGCAAGAAAGCAGAGTGCCCTTCCCTCGTGTTGAAAATCAACAGAAATAAAATATAATAAGTAACAATAAAATGAACTTTTTGCTATCATTCTTCCTAAAAATTTTTTCAAACATGTTTCCCTAGACCCATTTTTAAGCTGACAACTAGAATTTTTACTATAGAATGAAAAGATGCAATTTTCTGATAATTTAAAATCTAGACACAGAAAGTATTCAGTATTATATAAAAATTATTATGATTTGATATCCATGATAATCCATTTAAAAATAAACACGTTTCCCTTCACAGTTGGAGATTTGATATTCTTCTCTCATTGAAATTACATCCCTGTGTCAATTTCTCCTCAACATTTCCTGACATACTATAATTTAATGAGTTATGGTCTCTTATTAGTCATTTTAACATGCTTTCTAAAATGTCCTGTGACCACTGATCTGAGTAGAAGAGATTCTCTTGGATTGTCTAATCACCACAAGTATCATTAATAATATGATAAAAACACACTGACCAGTTTAACGCACTAATATTAAAAGCAAAGTCTAGCTAAGAATGCTTCTCAGCTACAGAAATTAAACAGCTTGAGGGCAGAGCTGCAGGCAGTGAGGTTATTAACAGATGGAGATCTGCGGAGAGTTAAAGAACTGGGCAGGGATAAGGATTCCCCAACCAGAAAATGGCAGAGTGGTAAGCAACAACAACTTAGCCTCTTTGAGATTTGGAATCCAAAACACTAGAAAATCATAATTTGGGGAAGAGAAAAAAAAAAAAAAGAGTGAAGTAGATTCCAATGAACCAGGAAGGATCAAATAAAAGAATTAAAACCTACAGAGCAATTAAAAAGACAACACAGAGAAGGAAAAGGACAATCTGTACTTTCTCCCCAGCTCCTGGCTCCTGGGAAAGGGAGACCAAATCTACAAAGACAAAGTGAAATCTGGGGACTTCAGAGGGCTTCAGGGAAAAACATGGTGGTAGAATGGACCACTTGGGTGCTGTGATCTGCAAGAAAAATGTGGGATTCTGCTCCCACAAGAGTCCTCTGACAGGCAACTTCTGGCAAGTGACTCCAGTCAAACACCCACCATAGCCTTGGAAAGAGTGCCCAGTAGGATGTCATTCTGAGGAAGGGATGATTGTATGAAAAAGGGACTCAGAGAAGCTACAGGATAGCTGCACTCCAGGGTTCCCAGTGTTACATTCCCACAGTAACTAAGTGAGGGATGCCCAGAGGAGACAGCCACAGTCAAGGAGCGTATGGCAAAGAGACCCTCTGAGGGTTCTCGGTTAAAGGACATAGGCCCAATCCCCAAGGCCAGAAATCAGGCTCAGCCTGAGTTGATCTGGATTTGAAAGTCACAGCGTTGGTACACTTGCCCTAATGCTACTGTCTGCTGGTGCCTCCAACCTGCACAGATGTAGGGTTTGACTGTCTTGTTTATCTACTGACATGAGAAGAGTCATGTCTTGACTTGGACACCGCCAAAAAATTGTAGATCCCAGAAGAAAATCACATGTTCAATATTAACAGAAAAATTTCTTTTTTGTTTCTTCTGTGTGTGTGTGTGTGCAATAGACACATGCATTAATAATATAAAATTTTATAGCAAATAATTTCTCTGGTGTGAGAAAATGAAATTGTGAATGAGGTCCAAAATGTACAAAGATAATGTGAAATAAAAAGAAAAGGTCCAAAGGGGAAGGGAAAGTAGGCAGGGGGTAGGTAGGGGAAAGGAAAGAAATGAAAGAAAAAAAACGACAACTGGATAATGAAGATGTGGGTTTCTATAAAATGGAATACTACTCAGCCACAGAGAATGAGAAATTACAGTCATTCATAGGAAAATGGATACATATTGAGGATATACTCCTAAGTGAAATAAGTCACACATGTGTAAATATTGAATAGTTTCTCTGGTGTGAATAAACTATAGTAATACACAAGATCCTAATGAGATAATTGACATTGTGAAATAGGAAGAAAAGGGCTAAAGGTGTAGGGGAAGTAGGAAGGGAAGGGGGAAGGGAATAAGGGAAAAGAAAAAATGTGAGAACACGAAAAAAATGGAAATAAAGTGTTTGTAGATGGGAAGGGGAGAAGAGGGTGAAGGGAGGGCAGGGAGAAGGGGAAAAATGAGAACCAAGACCTGTCATGTAAATGTACAAGATCCCAACAATGAATGTAACTGTACTGCATCCCTAAAATGTACCAATAAACTAAATTAAAGCTGAAAAAAAAAAAAAAAGAAAGAAAAACATGACGGGAAAAGAAGAAAAAAACAGAAATAAAGTCATTTGTAAATAGGAAGGGGTGGGGGAGGGGAGGAAGGAGCACAGGGAGAAAAGAACCAGTATACATCATGCACAGGTACAAATTCCCAATGATGAACACGATCAGAATGTATACCTAAAATGTACCAACGAACTTAATAAAACATTTAAAAAACAATAATTTCTTGAATAATCAGTGGGTCACCGATGAAATTAAACAGGAAATTAGTTCTTACAACAAATGATAATGCCAGTACGATACACAGGAATCTACAGGACACGGTGACAGCAGTCCTAACAGGGAAATTTATAGCAATGAATTCACACATGAGAAAAACAGGTGAGCTCAAATAAATGACCTAATGATGCACCTCAAGGTCCAAAAAACAAACAAACAAGAATACAAATCCAAAGCTAGTATGAGGAAGGAAATGATAAAGATCAGAACAGAAACTAATGAAATTGAGATTTAAAAAATACAAAGAATAAAGGAATTGAAGTTGGTTCTTTGAAAGAATAAATAAAATAGGTAACCCTTTAGCAAATCTTACTGAAATAAGGACAGAAGAGCTCCAAATCTCTGCAATTAGAAATGAAAAAAAAAAAAGAAAGGCAAAATCACAGTGGATTCTGCCCAAATCCAGAAATATCATTGATAACTACATTGAGAACCTGTATTCTAATTAAATGTAAAATTAGGAAGATACAACAGATTAATTCCTAGACACATAAAACTACTAAAGCTAAACTAAGAATATATAAAAATCCTGAATAATCCAATATAAATCAGTGAAGCTGAAGAAGTGATAAAAAACTACCAATTAAGGAAACTCCAGGTCCCGATGAACTGACAGCCAAAAAGAACATTAGAGAAGATCTAACGCCAATATCCTTCAAACTCTTTAATAAAATGAAAAGGGGAGTAATACTTCTGGAAGCAAACATTACCCTGATTCCAAAACCAGAAAAGGAGCCAACCAATAAACAGAACTACAGGCCAACTTTTCTAATGAACACAGATTTAAAAATTGTCAGTAAGATATTGGCAAACAGAATGCAAATAATCATCCAAAAGATCATACATCATGATCAGGTAGATTCATTCCAAGAATGCAGAGATGCTTCAACATATGCAAATCAATACATGCAATAATACATCTCACAAACAAAAGCAAGAACAAAATCACATGGTTCTCAATAGACACAGAAAAAGCATTTGACAAAATTCAACATCTATTCATGATAAAAAAAAACACCCCTGAAGAAAATACGTATAGAAAGTCTTTATCTCAAGCTGATAAAAGCCATCTATGAAAAACCAAAGACCAATGCTTTATAAAATGGAGAGAAGCTGAAAGCTTTCTCTCTAAAATCAACAATAAGACAAGAATGTCTGCTATCACCACTCCTGTCCAATATAGTTCTTGTAACATTAGCCAGATCAGTTAGACAAGAGAAAGAAATACAAAGATATAAATAGGAAAGGAAGAAGTTAAATTATCATTACTTGCAGATGACATGATCTTCTATCTAGAAAACCTTCAAAATTCCACCAAGACTCCTAGATTAATAATCAAACTCTGTAGTGTAGTAGGATACAAAGTCAACATTCAAATATCAGTATCATTCTTATATACTAATAATAAACTCAGTGAGAGAGAAATTAGATAAACAATACCTTTCACAGTAGGACCAAAAGAAATAAAATACTTAGAAATTAACCTGATCAAAGAAGTGAAAGACCTCTACAATAAAAACTACACCACTTTGA